CCCCTGAACACGCCCATCCATGCATGCATGAATCATCCGCTACCCCCATGGAGGAGTCCGGCGAGCACATCATCGCCGGCTGCGGCGAGCTGCACGTTGAGATCTGCCTCAAGGGAGCCTGTCGAGGACTGGAAGCAAAACAGGCCGTGTGGGGTGTGGGTGTCACGAGGACAGACGTCCACGAAGACGGTGGACGGACGCAAACTCCTTATCCGATTCACACTCACGGCTGTCCTACTGGTCATATAGAAAGTCGGCCGTCCGCGAGCCCCTGGAGGTGGCCACCTTCTCTGCCGACCACGCGCAAGTGCATCCGTGCTCCACGGCAAACGTGACGTTGAACTTGCGCGCGCAATCGGCAATCATCCAGTCGGACTGCATGCACTTTTTGTGATAGTCGCGCATGCAGCGCCCCAAGTCCATCGCCTCGAGCGCGCGCCTCGAAAAGACGGAGCCGCCGCCGCCGCACGCGTAGGTGCCTCGCCGCCTCTTGTCGTCCCACTCCGCCTCCCGGCGACGATACGGGCGCGGCGCGCCGCCCTCCATGACCGTGCCACCCGCGTAGTTGAAAAAGTCGCCGAGGAAGAGCGATTCGTCGGCGGGCCTAGGCGCGGCGGTGTGAGGGGGAGATTGGCGGGGGCGTGGGCTTTGCTGCACCGTTCGCCGCGGCAGTCAGCCTCGGGTAGCTCGCCAGGAGCCTGCGCACGCTGCGCGGGAAGACGAACGAGTCATCATCGACGAGTGCCACCTACAAAGGGGCACGCTGCCCGTCGGTTCGCGGCGTGGCCGCGCCGGGTGGCGGATGTTGCGGCACCCAGTCGATGGAGCGGTTGATGCGGAGGCTCTTCTTAGCCCAGGCAAGGGTGGGCAAAAAGTGGTACTGCGCTTCGAGCGTGTCCATGCGGTGCGGCAGGCAGAACTCCCGCGTCTTGTAGCTCTGACGCGGCCGCGCCCGCATCTCCTCGCAGCACGACCCAGCGTCGCGGCCTCCAGTCAGGATGGGTGCGATCCTGCGTGCACCGGCGTCCTCTAGGAGCCGGGAGGCCTCCCGCGCCTGGTCGGGCGGCGCATCGTAGTTCATTGCAAAGACGCACGCCGCGTGCTGGCACCACGTCAGCCGCTGCAGCAGCGCGCGCTCCACCTTGAACATCGAGCCCATGACGACAAAGAGGACGTTGTCGAGGGAGCTGGCGTGACCTCGGCGGCCGAGGCCGCCGCCCGCCTCGGCGAGCAGGGCGTTGAGCTGCTGCCGTCTACGCTCGAGCATCGCAGGGGCAGGTGCCGCCGACTGATATCTGCCACCGGATGGCGGCGAGAGCTTGGCGTGCAGGGTCGCTCGCGCGTCCCGGAAGTTTGCCGGGCGGGCTCTCAGGGCTCATGAGTTCATTGGATGCATTGTCGCAGAGCGACAGGCACAGGCTCGCTCTATGAAGGTACTGAGCTATGCGAGGCGTGTGTAGTTTAAATCAGTCCCTTTGGACTCATGCGCATTCTGCGCGCCGTCAGTCGCAATTCGCTAGGTGCTCAACATGCAAGGCAAGTGATTGCTGAATGTGGATTACCTTGAGAACAATGGAGCAACGAAAGATTTTGACTAGAGGCAGTCGGGGATTGGGAGGTCGATGCTGTTGTATCAATTTGTGTCAGGGTGTACGAGAAAAAATTCGTCTTCACTTGCGTTTTTATTCCCTACCAAAGAAAACCACCGTCAAAATCGGTCGTTACAGCAAGAGACGCGGCCTCCTTTGCCCGACGAGCGTAGCGTCCTGGCCTCTCGCACTGCATGCAAGGCGGCGATGAGCAACGCCGAGGGCACCCGGCCAGAGCGGCTAAGCAGGACGCCCTTTCACTCCACCCACCGACACCGCCCAACGCCCGCGCATGCCCAACAACCCCGTCCGCCTACCCTCTGCCACCGCCCCCACCCCGATCGTCCTAGACGCGACCCTCCCGCTCACCCCCGCCGCCCTCGAGCACTCCCACGAAGCCACCTCCGCCATCTCCCCCCTCATCTCAGTCAGCTGTCGCTCCTCGTCCACGCCAGTACCACCACTCCACACCACCGCCAGCCCAACCGAACTCGAGACGCAGCCGACCCGTCCAAAGCCTGTCTCGGCCTTCCCCGACACCGCCTCCACGACGCCTCCCTCCCCCGACACAGCCGGAACCGACACCGACATGAAACGTGGACTCTGCAGCGACCAGACGAACAGCAACGAATTCAAGCTCGACCCTCCCACACCCAGAATACAGCTCGCCATCGCTGACCACCCCACCGCTGCCAGCGCCGCCATAAGGACACTCTCGCATCAGCTCAGAGCATGGCCCGCAAGCACACAAGTGCCCGCACGGAACCGCAGCATGCGACTTGACTCTCGCGAAACACACGATACACGTGGTCTCTCCCCCCATCGTGGACTCAGGGGCAGCCGGCCGCCCCGTGTCGAGTCGGCGTCCGCTAGTGAGACGGCAGCAAGCGGCTCGGTGACTGGCAGATGCTCTTCCGCCGCCTCTCCCGCCTCTGGCCCGATCAAGCGCTCGATGGCGCCGACCCGCTCCTCGAGGCTGCCCTCGGTCGCCGTGCCGAGGCTCGCCTCCAGCCGCTCGGCACGCCGCACCAAGTCCCCGCCGCCGCCGGTCGACTCGCTGCTCACCGCCTCCTCGCACCGCGACACCCGACGCGCCAACGCCTCCTCCTCCGCATCCACCTCTGACCGGCGCAGCGCCTCTGCCAGCTCCGCATCCTCGCGCAGCGCCGCCCGCTCTGCCGCACCCGCTAGCTCTGCCGCCTCTCGCTCCGCCCGCCTCGCCGCCTCCTGCTCAGCAGCCAGCTGCGCCGCCCTCTCCTCCTGTGCGCGAAGCTCTGCCGCAGCCTTCGCCCTCCGCTTCTCCTCGAGCGTGCAGGCAGACGGCGCCCTCTTGGCCTTATTGTTCTTCGCCTTGGCCTCCTTCTTGGCCGCCGTTGCCTCCGCCGCCTTTGCGCGCCGCCTCGCCTTCTCCTCCTCCGCCCTCTTGTCCCCAGCCTCCTTCTCGCGCCGCGCCGCCTCTGCCTGAGCGGCTTTGCGCGCCGCCGCGGCCGCCCGCTGCTCCTCTCGCTGCGCCTCCTCTGCTGCTCGCCTCTCCGCCTCCCTCGCCCGCAGCGTCTCCTCTGCTGCCGCGCGCTCAGCGGCCAGCTTCGCCTCCGCCTCCGCCGCAATGGCTCGCCTCTGCTCCTCCAGCGCCGCCGCGTCCGCCGCCCGGCGCGCCTCGCCCGCCGCTCGCTCTGTTTCGCGCTGGCGTGCCGCCTGCTCGCGCTCTCGCGCCGCCGCCGCCGCCTCCCGCTCGCGCTGCTGGCGCCGCCCCTTGGCCTCGAGCGCCTTCTCGGCCGCCTTCTCGGCCGCCTCCGCCTCCCTCAGCGCCGCTGCGTGCTCTGTGAGAGCGCGCACGCACCCGGCGTGGTCCGTTTCGGGAGCACTGGCGGCGTCGGCAGTAGCTAGCACCTTGGCCGCCTCCTCCTTGGCGATCTGCAGCGCGGACCTGCTGTCTGCAGCGCGAGCCTTTGCATCTGCGCCAGCCCGAAGCAAGCGCTGCACGACGGCGGGGTGGCCGAAGAAGGCGGCGCACATCAGCGCGGTGCGGCCGTCCTTGTTCTGCAGGTTGATCTCAGCGCCGTGCCGCAGCAGCAGCTCGACCACCCGCCCGTGGCCGTGTTGGGCGGCGTGTATCAGCGCGGTGAAGCCGAAGCTGTCCTGCAGGTTGATCTCAGCGCCGCGCTGCAGCAGCAGCTCAACCACCCGCTCGTGGCCATTGCGGGCGGCGGCGATCAGCAGCGTGAAGCCGCTCGCCTCGCCTCTCTCGTACGTCGCGTCGGCCCGCCCGCCGCCCTCAAGCCACGCCAGCACCGTTTCCTCCTCACCACGCTAGCACGGCCGCGTCGGAGCAGCTCAGGGACCCTGCGCCGCTTTATCTACACGACCCACCGACACCCTCCCTAGCTCTCGCCGCCACCGTTTCACGTAGCCTCCCCGCCACCCCCCCCCATCGATATGGAGGAAGCCCTTTCACCCCACCCACCGACACCGCCTAGCGCCCGCGCATGCCCAATAGCCCCGCCCGCCTACCCTCTGCCACCGTCCCCACCCCGATCGCCCTAGACGCGACCCTCCCGCTTACCCCCGCCGCCCTTGAGCACTCCCACGAAGCCACCTCCGCCATCTCCCCCCTCATCTCGGTCTGTCGCTCCTCCTCCACGCCAGTACCACCACTCCACACCACCGCCAGCCCAACCGAACTCGAGACGCAGCCGACCCGTCCAAAGCCTGTCTCGGCCTTCCCCGACACCGCCTCCACGACGCCTCCCTCCCCCGACACAACCGGAACCGACACCGACATGAAACGTCGACTCTGCAGCGACCAGACGAACAGCAACGAATCCAAGCTCGACCCTCCCACACCCAGAATACAGCTCGCCATCGCCGCCGACCACCCCACCGCTGCCGGCACCGCCGCCTCCGACCCACACGGCCGCCTGACACCCTCCTCCACCCTCGCCGCCACCCTGTCACATAACCTTCCCGACACCCTCGCCCATCGACACACAGGTAGTCCCGTCACCCCACCCACCAACCCCGCCCAGCGCCTGCACATGCCCCACAGCCCCGCCAGTCTACCCTCCGCCACCGTCCCCACCCCGACCGCCCTCCGTTAAGAACGGCAATGCACTTATAAAAGAAAGAAAGAAAACGGACAGCCCACGGGAGGGATGGGAGGACGGCACGCCGCCACCACACAGGGATTTTAAGGAGAGGGGTGTGATGCGCTAGCCGTCGCCCACCCTTGGGCGTCCGCCTCTTCCTATCTCTCTTCGCAGTCTCTCGCCGATTCTCGCCGCAACCTTCATGCCACCTCGCGGTCGTCCCACTCTCGTCGTTCTCTCCCTTGTCACTTCTTCCTCTGTCGCGTCGCTCTCCTCTGCCTCGTTCTGCGACGCCGCCGCCGCCTGCCGGTCCCTTGTTCTCTCG